CGATCGCCGCACTGAGGGCTGTGCGGCTCCCAGAGGTCTTCCCCAACAAGCTGTTAGGAACAGTAAGGATCTCCCAGGGAGGTTTGGCAGAAGACAGCAATGCCTCTGTGTTTTAAATGTGCTGCAATGACAACACAGCTTGGAAAGTACTTCCCTCCATTTCATTTAGTCCTCAACATAATATTCAGGAAAGTAGCTCTTTGTAGAAACAGATGTGGAAACGGAGGCTTCGGGAAATAAAGTGGCAGAGGGGACTTGCCGGGTCTCAGGACCACCCCAGGACACCTCTGCCGCCCGCCCCACGCGCGGTCAACCTGACGAGCGAACGGGTGCTGGGGACGCCGGCGGGTTGGGGGGTGGCGCCGGGAGGGGACACCGGGGATGCCGTGGGGGTGGGGGACTCCGGGGGCGCACACACGGGCATACAGAGACGGCCGCAGCCGGCGGGCGGACCCCGGCCCCTCCCGCCCCCACCTCACCCTTGGCCATGTGTCCCGGGAACCACCGCGCCACGTCGCGACCGCCCAGGGGGAAGCTCTCTCGCCAGCCGGCCCCGGCGGCGCCGCAGAGCGCGCGCGAGGCCAGCCTCATGGCGCCGTGTCGCCGAGCGCAGCGCGGCGCGGGGGGGCCGCCCCGGCAACGGACCTCTCCGCCGGGTCCACTACCCGAGCCTGAGGTTCCGGCGCTCCAGGATACCGCCGGGCGACTCGCGCATGCGCGCTACGCTGCCTTTGGCGTCGCATGAAGCCTGGGGGCGGGGGCGGGGGCGGGGGCCCGGGGGCGGAGCCCGGGGCGGGGCTACGAGCCGACCTCGGACCTGTGCACTTCCGGGACTTCGCGGGGGTCCTAAGTTTATGCGGTATTTCTTTTTTTAAGAAATTAATAGAAATTTCGGGGCGCCTGGGTGGCTCAGTTGGTTAAGCGACTGCCTTCAGCTCAGGTCATGATCCTGGAGTCCCGGGATCGAGTCCCGCATCGGGCTCCCTGCTTGGCAGGGAGTCTGCTTCTCCCTCTGACCCTCCTCCCTCTCATGCTCTCTGTCTCTCATTCTCTCTCTCTCAAATAAAAAAAAAAAGAAATTAATAGAAATTTAAAAATTTCTAGTTCTTTCTTAAGTGTATTCTGAGTATAAGTGTAACATAACTCAGCAGTCCTCTGCCAATGTTTGACCCCTTTTTACAAATTGGTTAAAATTTTCAAATACTTTGTGTTTTTTTTTAGAGATTTTATTTATTTATCTGACAGAGAGAGAGACAGGAGAGAGGGAACACAAGTAGGGGGAGTGGGAGAGGGAGAAGCAGGCTTCCCGCGGATCAGGGAGCCCGATGCGGGGCTCGATCCCAGGACCCTGAGATCATGACCTGAGCCGAAGGCAGACTCTTAATGACTGAGCCACCCAGGCACCCCTACAAATTGGTTAAAATTTTCAAATACTTTAAATGTAGCCTATATATGTAATATCTCCCTTTTCTTTTTCAAATACTCCAGGTTTTAAACAAAGCCTTTGGAAACATTGACTGCAGTTCTGCTACACTAATCCTATTAATACACTGAGCCGGAATTCCCACTGTACCCATACTCTGTGTAAATGTAGCTTTAACTCTGAGTCCAAGCAACTACTCAGTGCACATTGAGTACAGGAGTATTCCTCTAGCGGAATTTTTGAAACAAGCTGCTAAAATTCCAAACACAAAAATGTCACTACTGTGATGGTCTCAAACCCCCCAGTTGTCAGCACTAAGCATTCCAGGGCCCCTGGGAGGTAAGCGCTCCCAGGTGGGATGAGTCAGACACCAGATGAGGACCCAGCCCCTGGCTCCTCCTCAATGAGGGGCCCTCCCACCAAGATGGCAGCACGTGTCCTGCTCGCCTTTGTCACTTGGGATACAGAAATGTCTCCCCAAGCACGCAGCTTGAAGAAACCTTGTATGTCAACAACACAGATCACTGAGAGAAGTGGCAATCTCTAAAACAAAACCCTGTTGAATTCTGGATTTCTCACAGCTGACTGGCAGGTGTCCCACACAAAACCACTGGAGGGACACGGAGCAGTGGACACACATACAGAACTCTGGGGCGGAGGCAGGGAAGACCTGTTGGAGGGGCCATCTGACCCAGGAGAGGAAGGAAGAGAAGGGCCCATGCAGGGTGTGCTGGGGCCGAGGGCATGTTGGGCACCACTTGGGGTTGGAGAAGAGCCCAGACAGGCCTGGCCCCAAGGCCCTTCCACCAAACACACGCTCACCCCTGTAGCCAGGGTCCTCCCTGCCCCTCCAGAGCAGGTCACAGACTGCAGCCTGAGGTACGGGAGAGGCGGGAGCCACTGGCTTCAAGGTGGGTGCAGGGCCAGGAGCCCCACAGCCTGCAGCCCGGAGTCCCAGCCTCTGCAGCTCCTGCACCTTCTTCTGAAGTGCCACCCACCAGCAGCACCAGCCTCCCCTCAGGGCCTGTGCTGGGAAGAAGCCCAAGCTCTGCGGTGGCAGCCTTGAGACTGAGCAGTTACTGACCCTGACCTCTAGGCATTTTGTCCCTTCCTCAACTGTGAAAAATCAGCCCTTTGACCCATTCTCTGGGATGCTTTGAGGATGCAGCAAGGTAAGATGGGGTCAGCTGAGCAGAACACCCAGGGCAACCCAACACACTCACCCCAACACTGCCCGCTGCACCGACATGCTCCCCACTCACCCTGACACCCCATCTATCCCACCCCTCTGCACTCTTGAGGCCTCATTTTTTATTCCCTTCCTTTAGAAAACCTCTGGCCCCAGGTCAGGATGGGGTGCCCCTGTGTACTCATGTGTCCGCACTCTCTGGCCCTCCCCCAGCCCAACGTACAGTGGGTATCCGCTAAAGCATCTGTCGGTGCGGTCCTGAGACCAGCAATGAGAGCTCAGGAATGCCGAAGGTGCCAGTGACAAGGGGCAACCACAGCATCCAAAGTCCAGGGAACTCAGGGGAGGGGGCACCTGGCCCCGCAATGGCCCAGGCCTGGGGCCTGGCGGAAACAGAAGTGACAGGTGCCGCAGGCCTGAGGTACAAGAACGAGGAGGCAGGGAGGCTTTAACAACTTTATATGCATGCCCTCAGCAGCAGTGGTGTTGTCCCGTGTCTCATTTCTCCAAGAAGACCTCGCACTCAGCTCAAGCTGGGCCCTGGCCAGACTCAGTGACATGAAAAATCAGAGCTGCCCCCAGTCACCAAAAAAGGCAGGCTGTCATTAACATCCCCAAATCTCAAGCCAGGCCAGACACTGTCAGAGGAAAGGATGATGTCACCCTCCCCACCACCCCCCACCCCCCCGGCACTGGAGGGGCAGTGCTGGGCTCAAAATGGTAGGAGCAGGGCTCAGAGCCAGGGCCCCGGCAGCTGCGCCTGGGGGTCCTGCAGAGCGATGAGCCGGTCGGCCTCCCTCCAGCCAGACAGCAGAGCCCCGTGCGTGGTGGAGTAAAATGTCCGATGTGTGGCTTCCCCTGCAAACAGTATCTGGAGCTGCAAAGAAAAGCTAGGGTTAGGTGCCAGGGATCAGGCGGCAGCCACACGCCTCTCACTGTGGCTGCAGAGCTGATGGCAGATGTGTGGCTTTATTGCTCACTAATCCCACTGAGCCCTGAGACGGCCAGGAAGCCTGAGCAGGTACGCAGACAGCAAGCACTCCTGCAATCAAAAGCGAATGCAAAATGGAAAACTCGACAGACAGTTTGGGATGCAATGTTAAGAACTTCACCCAAAACACAAAGTGAAAACCCAAAGAGATGGAAATTAGGAGGGAAAAAGATAAAAAAATTTGAGGACCAGTCCCCCATCCAAACAACAAAATCCCACAAAAGAAGGAGGAGGAGGAGAAAAAAGAACAGAGAGCTGAGATAATTCCAAGCTTCCTAAGAGGTAAGAAAGGAAGGAAGCTGAATGGCTTTGGACTTCCCAAGAGCAGCACTGAAGAATGTCTTCAGAATGCTGAGGGACGTGCCTCTCAAACTAGGATCTGCACCCCACGTGCAGCTCTTCCAGGACCACCAGTTCTTGGAGACACCTCCCATAGAGAGGTATGATCTGCGTCCTGCCCTTGAATCTGGGCAGGCTTGTGCCTGCTGTGGAGTGGAGTATGGCAGATCAGCACTTTCTGACATCCTAGCTGGGCCGCCATGTGGCAGCAGCAGCCATGCTGTGAGGAAGCCTGAGCCACACAGAGGCCACGACAGGTGCTCCCGCCAGTGTCCCAGCCCAGGGCAGCCGTGCAGGACGAGCAGCCTCAGAGGACCCCCACCCCAGCCCTGAGTGACCCTGGCACAGGCCAAGACTTCCCCACTGAGACCCCAGACATCATGGGCAGAAACAGACAGTCCCTTGCGCCCACCTACGGAACCTGTGAGCATAATAAAGTGGTTGTTTCCACGAGTGGGTTTTCAGGTGGTTTGTTACATAGTGACAGGACTGGAACACCTGAAGTCTAAGATAGAAAAAGGACAATTCCACACATGCAAACTTAACTTTCTCTAAAAATTTACCTCCCCTGCACCACCTCGTCAGGAAGCTACTAGAATAAATGCTCCAAAAGTAAGTGCACAGGGCAGGCGGGGCAAGGGGTGCCGGACAGGCAGGGGCTGGGCATCAGGAGCTGAAGCTGACGCTGGGGTGTGAGAAGGAAGCGAGAGATGATGGAAAGAATTAGCAGAGTCCAGGCAAAGAAGTGCACGGAAAACAGAGCCCTCCCTGCACACTCCCTCACTCACGCACTCAGTCACACTCACTTGCACACACTACACTCCACACACCCACCCACAGACTCACAGACACACACTCACATCTACAAACAGGCAGGAAAGGAACCACAGTGTGCTTACAGGCCACATGCGGACAGGGCCTGGAGCAAACCAGATGATGGACACACTGAATAGTGGTCTTAACAAAAGTGCCACATCACACATGGGGAGGCCGGGGCAGAGCTAAGTGCTGGGTGGACAGAGGAGTGCAAGAGAGCTAAAACCTTATCTGCCATAGGGAGAGTCAATCAGGGATGCCTAAAACTGAAAATTCAAGGAGCAACATTATGGAACAAGCAAACTGTAAAGAGCTTATAGGGCACTGGGGAAACTGAACCCTGAGTTTTGGATAATATGGAGGAATTATCATAATTTTTAACTGGGATAACTTTGCTATAGTTACACATTTTTAGAGGGCATCCTTTATCTTTAGAGACCCATTCCGGGGTGTCTGCAGTGAAACGATGTCATAATCACACAGTGGAGAGGTGGGGGGATGGGCCGCGGCCACCACGACACAGCGCTGAAGCCGCAGGTGGGGGCCCAAAGGTCCGGCCTGTTTGTGCACACATCCGAAGCTTTCCACGACTGAGTGTTTTGTAAAAAGTGGCAGCATAAGCGTGTTATTTAGAGATGTGGTAAATCTGGAGCTGAGACTCGGCTCTGACCGTCTGGGAAGGGGTTTGGGAAGGGGATGTTGGGCGCCCTCCAGCAGCCTGCTGTATTTTGTTAGTTACTTTGTTATTTTGCTACCAGCACTGTAGAATTTTCTGATGCTTTTTAGGCTAAGTACATGTAAAATTCTGATAAAATAATACATGTTTCACGATTCCTAATTTCAAAAAGCACAGGGACCCAGCCTCAGGGGTCCCAGCCCCACCTGTGCCCGCCTCACCTGCGCCTTCGCGCCCTCCTCAGGCAGGGGCTGCGCCAGCAGGTCGATGTCATCCCCGGTGCTGCCCACAGCCACGTAGCTGTAGGAGCCCCTGGTGTACGGGGCGCTGTACCAGCAGGAGCGCAGCATGCTCCTGGGCGCAGGGAGCCTGGCATTTCCTGCACCCAGAGACGTGCGTCAGTGTGGTACCTCTGCCCCCCGGCCCCAGTCCAGCTTCCCTTTAAGACCCTACAGTTTAAAACAAAGGAAACCACCCGGAAAGAAAACCTCACCGCGAGTATATCCATCAGAGGCTCTCCCTGTCTCACCGATTTGCTTAACTCAGTTCACCCAGAAACAGAAAAAAGAAGTGGAAAGTGTTTGCAAAGCTATTTCAGTTCCTCAGAGATGAGAACTCTGAGTGACCCCACTAATATTAGGAAGGACTGTCCCTGGAGGGTTATAGCGCCAAGCTGGGTTCCTGTCCAGAGATCGCCAGCAAGGAGCCCCCGTGGTGCCCGGCCACACACACTCTGTACCTGTCACCCTGCGAAGCACTTGGGTCAGAGACAGGAGCACTTCCTCATCAGAGAGCGTCTCCATAAACTCAGACTCCAGCCCAGCGATGAACCCGCAGAGGATGTGGACAGACCTGTGTGGGAGACACACCCTGAGACAACTTGCAGCCGGGTCAACTGTGCACAGCACCTACAGCACCCAGACTGCAAGTGTGACCCATAACCCTGCCCCGGGGCGCCAGCCCCCAGGGATCTGTGAGGTCACAACTCTTTTCTTAAAGCGGAGACAGTGCTTGCTGTTTCTACTCTGCCAACATACACACAGGCGTGCAAGGCCCACAGTGTGTGAATGGCTGTCCCTTCAGAATCAGGACCAGGACACAAACTGCACCAGCAGACGCAGTGTTCTACCCCAACACACACACCGTAAAAAAAATAAATAGATAAAATGCCAAATTCACTTGAGAATGTCCTGGAGCAAGCAGTAGAAGTTATTAACTGTATTAAATCTTGACTCTTGAGTACACGTCTCCAACATTCTGTGTGACAAAATGAGATAAGGGCAGGGGGCGGAGCAAGATGG